AAGTTGAAACATACTGTATGAAACACCAATGTAGTAAGAAAATAATGTAAGCAATACATTGTTATAACACTGTACTGTTACATGGTTTGAGGCTTGATATATTCCTTTAAAAATACTAAATGTAATGAAAATCTTGACCTGCAACAATCACACAATACAAGAAAATGTTCCCATAGTTAAAATTACAACTATTTCAGATAATATAAATATAATAGTTTATTTAGGCTACATTACTGTAATACAAAAAAGGGAATTTATATAACTAATTTAGGAAAGTGAATTTGACTTCAAAGATCTTTTTTTATAATTGAATCTGCATTATTATATTCCAATGTTTTATGTGTTAAAATATGTTCTGAAAGACCCAGCGGTCATCTCCCAATTGTCCTAAATAAATAATTATATTTCACATGTTTAATTTCCCTTTCAATATCATTTTCATTTTGTGAGATTAGAGGTAGTATCCCTGATATTCCTTTAGTCACTTATTTCATCTCCTCGTGTAAATAATGGAGGCTGTGTTTCTTACAATTTGTGTTTTTATTGTGTGTCTAAGTTTAAGATGGCATTGGCTAATAGCTAGGGTCCGAGAGCTGAGATCCTGCCACAGAGGTTACAGTGGTTGTTATGGTTACCGGATAAGCACTGGAGTGCTGGTTATCATGCATCAGTGAGCGTAAATTAGCTCTTGGTGTAACATGCACCTCACGACACACCGGCTCGACCTGACCTCCCACACCCTTCATACTCGCACATCTTGCCTCCACAGCTCTATGTTAAACCTAACACTACACTACACAAACATACATACGCGTAAAACTCCCTACCTCCAACAGTGATAAAGGCAAACCACATCCGCTCCACGTTCTATTTCCATAACCCATCGACAGAAAACATAAAGATGTCGTGAAGAATTACAACTGAAAGAAGATGTTTTATAATTTATTGTCCTCTATTCCACTTTAATTACGATGCTTGTGTAGACTTGGGCGACTCATTTAACCGTGTGCACTGGCTGCCTTTTTTATTTGTGTTTTACATAGCTGAGCAGAATTGTACTTTTCCTTGCCCACAGAAATGTAGGGGGCGGTGGCGAGAGAAAAGAAGGTGTTCTATTCTTAGCTGTAGTCATGTTAATAACTTGTCTGTGGGAGGTTAACTCTTCCATTCATCTCCTGTTATTTATGTGCAGGAGGATGTATAGTTTGTAGCGAGGGATTATTTACCTCCCTGTTCGGGGACGCCCCTCCGGGCAGAGCCAGCCTTTAAATATCCTCTATCCTCTTCACAAGGCTGGCTGACTTGCTACAAACAGCTACTGAAAGGCTTTTAAAATAAAGACACTGGATGTACAGTGATCAGCTGAGGGGCCATATCACCTGGAACGCAGGCCCCTGGGTCATTGCCCCCCTTGCACGTACAAACCGATCACACAGCCATTATCTGACCTTGTAAATAAACTCCTTTTAGGCAGCTGCCCATAGCATGGACTGACCATGAAAGAGCAGGCCGTTTGTCACTAATACACACATTGTATGTCTATGTACATAGTCCGCCTGTCTCCAACACAGAGATGTTAATTCCTCTATACCTCTCACCCCAATCACTCTCAATGCTTTCTGTCTTAAAAGGAGTTGAGCCGGTTCCATACCTGCTTTTCAGGGAGCAGAGAAAAGACTAAAGCTAATGTTTGGCAGTGCTTTAGTGGGCCTACATTGTGACCTGATGTATGGATGCTGAAAACAAAGAGGTCTTTGTGAGGAAACCTCAGAGACGTAGAGTTCAGGCTCAGGTAGAGGCTTACGCTGTCTAAATCATTGCCGGGGCGTTTGTTTAAAATGGGTCTGCGTGGTATGTAAAATGACGGTGTTTTAAAGTCCAGCGTAAATTCATCTTGATTTTATTGATAATCCGTCATGGTGTGTAATGTGTTTTGGCAGAGGTGCTCGGTCCCCAGTTTTTACTAAAGCTTTTTCTCACCAAATGTGGCAGATCAAATTAGCCTTGATCTGTTTGTACTATAGAAAACAGAACGTTTTTTTTGGAAGAGGTAAAGGGTGAGCTGTCTGACCTCTAGCAACCTGAGGCTTCTCACAAAATGAGAAGGGCATAAATAAAAATCAAGAAAGCAAGTGTGCATATTCTCTGAAAGGTACAGTTTGTGTTTTACTGTATTTGTATTACATTTGCACTTTTTTACTGGTGCTCTGTGTATGCATGGGTTAGGCATTTAAGATGCAGAGATTTAATTCAGTTTTCCAGCTCTGTGTGAGGCTTGGCTGCATGACTCGCTGTGTGTGTGTGTTCAGGCAGACACTAATAACACTCCCTTTTCTCCATTTGAAGGTTTTTGTTCCTGAGCGCTTAGTGATCATTAAGCTGCAGTAGTAAGCTGCTTGGCACCTGCTTTAAATACGACCACCACCCGCTCATTAACACTAACGAAAGCGTGGCTGGCAGCCGCACTCCACGCCCAGGCTCGTCAACCTGCCCCCTCGCTAAAATTAGCTACATTTCACAAACAATTTCCCTAACTCGTTACACAGCTAGGTGTTTATTGGAAGATGGCTGACTCTGACTTAGAAGTGGTCGATGTAATAAGCACATGCCAGGTTAAGATGAGCTGGCCCACATAATAAACCATAATTTGCTGACAATTTTCAACTGAACTTCACTTCATCAGGCATTATAACAAACAAACTCAGGGGGACCTGAAAGTACATAGCATCATGTGTATTTATAATTTACTCTCACAGAGTGTGGATGCTGCTTGGAACTTTTTCTTCTCAATCCAAAGCCATCAGGCTCAGCCTCGGCCCCCTGACCGTTCCCTTCCCCCTTACTGTTATTGTTTGTATTCCCAGTCTCAGATTTTTACCTCAAGATCCTTGTAGTATTGACCTGTATTAATTCTGAGTAGGATTCAAAGTCCATTTATTTTCTTTACGGTATGGAAAGGCCTTGGTGACATGGCTCCCCTGTGTTTATAATTTTGCTTGTTTCAATTTGTGCTCGGCCTCCCCTGACAGAGCCGGGACATGATGTATCGTACACCGCTGCCTTATCTGTTGATGTACAGTTTTAACCTTTCCAGAAGGTTGCCTCTCTCCACTCTGTGCAGACCAGTCTCCCTGTCCCCCCCTCTTCAGATTCACCTCCCCATCCAGAGCACAGGAAATACATACAGCACGGCGGCTGAATTCAAAAGAAGAGCATAACCCCTTTTCCAAAGTCATCTAATGTAAATGTTTAGGTTTTGTTTCCATAACATTTCCATATTAAGAGTTGGCGGCCATGTGCAGCAGTGGACCATGGAAGCGATGAGAGTTTGGGGGCTTGAGCCTTTTGCAGTGCTGAGAGGCTGAGCTATGTGTGTGACATCGTGGTGAACTTTCAGTGTGCATCTGTGGGCTTTCTGCTGGGCTGTTAGCTTTGGCCTGTTTGCTCATAGATACAGCACCGTAAATCACACAGTGTAAAATGTAGAATCCGGGGATGGGGCTCAGAAGCATGAACTGCTGGAAGGGCCTCTTGGAGGGAGGGGTGCACGCGTTGGAGTCACATATTTGTCTGTGCTTGTGACTGTCTCCATACAAGTACTGTATGTAGAACATGCACTGCCTCAAGGCTCAGTCAACAGAACATATACATAGTTGGCAATGTCACAACAACTGATTCTTGCTCTCATTTATAATTTATGTGGCTAGAATAACTTGTCGAAGTTGCGAGGGGTCGAACATCCAGGTATTTATAATAAGCTCGTAAATTATAACCACATAAAAGACTACGGTAAATATTTCTGTAATTAATATTAAAATAACACCAAAGGGTGTTTTGGTCTGTGTTTTAATATGAAATGATTGATCACAGGTTCAAGATTTTATGCACTTTACCTTGGAGCTGAACTTCTGTTGCTCTCCGTGGCCCTTTGGCTAGCTTCCTGTCTAGCTCTCCCGAGGCCCCACAACATTGTTAACTGTCTGAGGATAGAGTGTCTGGGACCGGAGCACTGTCAGCCCCCTTGAATCTGGTCTTGCATGTGGGGACTGAGGTGCTCTCCATTCAGAGTTCAACTGTGACATGTCTTTATGCATGGCAGCTAATGTTCAAAGAATAGGTATGATCTATATGAGGCAGAGAGGGGCCACCGGTGGCTCTTTGGGGCATAATATACAGCTTGAAAGATGATTTATTGCCTTTGTGAGGAGAAGCAGTGAAATAACGTTCCCGCTGAAGAACCATTTTAATTGTCTCTGCACCTTTCAGCAGACCTTCAGGTGTACAGTAGTTACAGTGCCCAGAAGAAACAATAGCAGCAACATGATGAGAGGGAGAGAACAAAACATAGAAAAAAAACACTTTTATTTAAATAGCCTGAACTTGACTTCTCAGTTGCTTGGCAATTCATTATGTATAGCTTTTAGGAGCTGCAGTGCTTGCCAACTGAGTCAAAGTTGTTCTGGCTTTTAAAGTGAATGTGAATGAAACAGCTGGACACTGTTGGATTGGCTAACATTAGCCGCCAGATGCAGTGTGTTTGAGTCTCAGACTTTGTGTTGAACTTTCTGTTCTCTGCTATGTGCCAAAGGCTTCCGACGGCAGGATCCGGAGGCCTTGGTGTAATGCTTTGTTATTTCTCAGATTATTGTTTTCTTCACTGCCATTGTAATATGATCAAGTGTGTATCACCCTGTCACAAAGATCTTAATCTTCCTGGCGGATTTTTTTATTTGTTTCAGTTTCCTGAAATGTTATCAAAGGGAAAAGAAACTAAGCGATCATATCTTTCATAGATCAATCTTGCTTGTGTCCCATCTGTTAGTCTCTTTACTTGCTTATTCTTCCTTTTCTTGTTTTGCCTTACCCAAAGTCAACAGCCATAAGCATTTTGCACATATGAATTTAAAAGAAACATTCATAGCTACTTCAGAACTCTCAGTCTTGACAGTAATGATGTACTAAGGAAATATGTGCTTTGTTTCTTTTGTTTTACACTGCAGGTTCGGTCCAGGCCTTGTGATCTACTGGTATGGTTTCATAGGAGAGCTGGACTGCCAGAGAGACAGAGGTATCCTGCTCAAAGACTGCTTCCCTACAGACATAGTCACTCTGAGCCATGCCGCCCAGCAGGACCGACTGCCACAAGAGCCAGAATAAAGACAAAGACGGGGGGAAAGAAAGAAAAAACGTATGATGGAAGGAAAGAAAGAGGAAGACACAGAGGCGGGAAGGAACAGGGGTGTATATCCAGATCCGGAAGCAATTTGGCTTTCCTGCAGTGTGAGACGGCAAAAAAATCTGCCCTGAACTCCACCTGACCCGCCGTCTCTGTCCGTCTCTCCCTTCCTCTCTTTCACTGCCCCAAAGCTACCACATGTAAACACACACCATCTTTCTGTATTATCTGACAGCACAGGGTCAGATTCATACCTGTGTGCAAAAACACTGTCTTGGAGGCTTTCCTGGTTGTGGTCAGCTCCTGGCCCCTGGATGGCCCCTCGCAACGGACAGCCAGGGTGAGAGCCAGGGCCAAAGCAGGACATTAGGTCCTTCCTTATCACACCCAGCGCCCTGGCCTTTGTCACTCCTTCCTCCTCCACTCCATAGGCAGATAAGAGAGGTGCGGTCCAGGGGCTGGCTGGACGCCTGTCTCTCACCTGCGTCACTCAGCGTCCTCTCAGTTCCACCCCAGGGGGGTAAACAGGATCATTTCTGGTTGAAGATGGCCTCACTGTGACCTTCTTCCACTTCACCTTATAAAAACTATTGAGGATTTTCTTTTTTTCCCCACAGTTTTTGAAGCAAGGTTAACCATTTCAAAACTAAATGCTATCATAGAATAATATCCACTTTTTTTGTATTGTCTTTAAGTCAATATAAGTCTCCACATTGTTGGTAACACTTCTCACACAGCTCCCATCAAACTCAAGTGCCAACTATAACTACTAAGTGTCTTTGTTTTTCTCCTTGGCTAGCTTGCATGATGTTGATATCTATCTTTTTCTCACCATAGACTAATATGTTCAATTTTTTTAAATTAATTGGTTATTGTCAGTCTATGAAACATTGAAAAATCAAAGAATTGGCCATCAAAATTGTTCAATTAACACTCAAAGTTATTTATATAAAACAAATACCAGTATCTGCATATAAGAAGCTGACATTCACATTTCTGCTTCTCAAAATCAAAAATGATTCATTGATCATTCAAATTGGTAGCACTTCATTTTCTGTCAGTCTTAAGTCAGTATTAAAGATGTGTTCTATAAACAGTGTTACATAACATCAGAGAAAGCCATAAAGCCTGAAGTTACAGTGTTCTCCATACAAGGGATTAAGGTGCCTGTTGAGCCAAAGATTTGAGTAATTAGGTCTATATGTCACCTAAACAAGTGCACTGCAGGGTTTAAAAAAAAAAAAAAGGAGGTGGTTCATTTTATCCCACATTTTACACTGGGGTAATTTAATAGAAAATGTATTTTGTATATAGGGATTTTGTATGTGTGTTTATTACTAATAAATACGTTTTGATAAAATATTTGGAATATGTTATTTTTATGAATGCTGCCAGCATAACATTTATTATTTTCCACTTAAACTTAAGCTTTGTGAGTGCAGACGGGTACGTACAGTAGAAACACCTGATTTTCATGTAAATGTGTGTGTATCCAGCAGTTGTCTGTTCCACTTCTTTTACAACCGCTGTACCTTTTTTTATGAGCAGATACCAATGGAAGAAACACAGCCGGGCTAGGGGAACCAGAAGTGAACATAAAGTTGAGTGATGCTTTTAGAGGCAGATATGCACTGCCTATAGGGGGTCCCTGTCCTGTCTTCTTCTTTATGGCACACAAAACGGTAAGAGGAAAGAAAGTGAAAGAGTGAAGAACCTGCCGCCACCTCAGAGAATGCTTCTTATGTATCATAACTGCTGCACTACGGAAACTGAGTTAATATGAGAGGTTGTTTCCTAATACACAATATTTCAGTAAAACCTGCTGAGAGATAAAACAAAACAGACCTCAGGTAAGAATGAGGTATTGAATGAAATGATGTCCTCCTTGTCGTCACTGCAGTGTAATCATTCCTAAACCTGACCCTTCCCTGTTCTGTTACTGAGGAGAACTCCCCATATAGAATAAAAATAAGCGCTTGTTTGTTCTGCAAAGTCATGCACGGCTCACGCAGTTAGAGAGATATGGTATGTGGGGGTTAAATACCACTAAAGTGTTGCTTGATTTGTTACCCTTAAACCTCTAACCCTCAGCCAGCTCCCATCTAGGCCTTGATCCCTCCATGAGGAGGCCGGTGGGTCAGCGCGGGGTCGCCAGGCGGCCATGGCTTCCTCTGTCAGGCCCCCCCTGCTCCATGTGGTACAAAACAACTGTCCCCATGTGTCCAGTTAAACTCGGCCCTATTGCCTGGCCATGGAATGCTTAGACATCAGTTTATGGCTCCTGTTGGACACAAAGACAGAGCTATTTTACTCGGGGAGGGAAAATTCTCTATTGAGTTAGAACAGAAAAAATGGAAAACAGCAGATTCAGTTCCTCTCAAGTTTCAAGCCTTCCTGTCATTGTTTTCCAAGATGGCTGTCGCACAAAAGAGGAGCCAGGGTCAACTCCTATAAATTAGGTTCTGCACACAATGCAAACTAAATACAGCTTCTTTTTTTTTTAAATCTACTTCAAAGGCAAGAGCCGACATCAGCGTCGGCTGGCAGTTTTTCCATGATGTGAGTGCAAATATAGAAGAAAACAAATGTCTCTGATGATTTTTCAGAGCCAGACATCTTTATTTTGTGTTTTCCTTGTCCTCGTCTACCACCTCTTTTTAGATTCATTGTTCTTGTCACAACAATGGGCAGTCGAGTGCTCTCCAAATAAGGTGAGTTTGGAGAGGTCGTTTCCTGGGGCAAGGAACACCAGTGTTGGAGAAATTTGATCCTCAAGTGGCATCCAGTAATAACAGGACTGACCGTACAGTATTTTCTTTTTTGCAGATATATATAATTGTGTCAGAGAGAAAATTGAAAACATTTAAATCATGTTCTCCTGATAAAGTATTTCCAACCTACATTGAGAACTATTTAGTTAAAAAAAAAAAAGTGTTATAATATTGTTTACACCCCTTTAAATTGAGACTCCCATGTGTCTATTAGTTTGATGCTACTCACAGCTTCGTCTGGCCTTGGCCTGCAGGCTACTGGAAGTCTACTATTCACTCAGATGTACATATCAGCCCGATCTCTCCCAGATCCTGCTGTTTTATTTCTCTTCAGCCAAGCTGCTAGACCACTGAGACATGGAGAATGAGGAAGAAGAACAGAACCGGAGTTAGACTGAAGGCTAGGTTCTATCCCTCCAGCAGACCACCAAACGGACTTCCTCCATGCTCCTGTGTTATTTATGTGGAGAGCGCTCTGGCCTGTTGCTGCCCCAGGCTGCATAGTGCTTTTAGTCGGGATCCTCTCAGCCTCCCTCAGCCAGCAAGACATCACAGGGTGAAAATAAATAACATTTCTCTTGGAAGATTCAGAGCAGCCAGTTTAAAATTTAAAAAAAAAAGATTTTTTTTTTAAAGAGTGCTTGGAAAACAGCACTGGGAAAAAAGCAGCCCCTCTGCCCTGAGCTCAAGCAGATATGAAGAGTTTTTATTTTTATTTTTGGGAAACTGCCTAATCAGAGACTGTTATTTTAAAAACAACAATGGATCATGAGAAAAATGGTCTGGGGGATATTACATGGCAAAGCAGTGGATGTTTGATTGACAGGGCAGATGGTATGTTTGAGGGAAACTGAACAACTATGACACATTAATCCACTCAGTAGGGTGGGGAGATAAGGGCGCTAGTCTAGTTTAGTGAAGTATGAGTCACTGGTAGTGCGGGACAAACGGGGACATGGCCGAGAGCCTCCAAAAATCCAGAGCTCTGAACACCCTGCAAAAACCACTCCTGACACTGATGAGACATGGGATCACATGCACCCAGGCTTTGGCCATTGCACTTTTCAATTTCTGACAGCCCTAAATGAGCAACTCAAGTCCCTTTCTGTTAAAAGAAACAGCATGGCTGTGGAAACCTAAATACCTTAGATGGTACACCATGTTAAATGGTAAGGTGTTGACTGGGATTCTTGCTAATTGAGGTATTCCATTTGGTGCCAAGCTCCCATTTGTAAAAACAGTGGCAGTCAGCGTGTAACCCACGCCTTCAAATAAATCCAGGAAGCATATTTGGAGTTCCTTCCAGTGAGACCTGATACATCATGTGTCTGCGGCCATAGCTGTGGCCTGTGACCGTCCAGAGTTTAGCCAAGATGTCACACATCAGCCACATTTTACAGAGGCTATTTTTGTAGTCAGCTTTGATTAATCCCCATTGTTTTAACATGTATTGTCATGAATAAAAAGGAGTATGTGAATACCGCAGAACAGCGTAGGGGGAAAAAAAGGTCTGTCAGTGAAATGGAAGGAGCGTGTGCTTGTGGTTGGGCCAGGGGTGACAGCCTGCACGGAGGCGGCCTGCTCTAGCATCGGCCACCGGAAAGGTCAGCCCCCCTGAGTGGCATTTGGACTGTGACAGAAGTGACCCAGAAACTGTGTCATCTCCTGTTCTCAGCGAGGGGTCCAGAGGAGGCCCCGTTACATCCATAGGTACAGGTACAGGCCAGCATGGGGACGAGCGAGGGTGAGGGGAACAGCAGGGTAGAGGAGAGATAGAGGAGGAAGGGACAGCAGAGAGGCAGTGGTAGACATATGAGCACTAGTGACATCCTAAAAGATTAGAGCTGTGTCGTAGGAAAATAAGACGGTGGAAGTGGTTGGGGGGTGGAGAAAGGTTAGTTGCAAGAGGCTGGAGACAAAATGTGATTGAGTCAAAACAAACTCTGGCTCACACTTTCCCTTTTTCCTCTATTTGTGAGCATGATGAGAGCTGTCACAGGCTGGTTATTATGAAATAAGTGCACTCAGGAGGAGGTGGGCCTGCTGTACACAGGCGGCAAAGACCAGACAAGCGTAGATATTATGGGGTGCGTCAACCACGGGTTTTGATTGGTGCTGAGAGCAAAGCTTGAATCCAGAGCACAATTAGAGTCTGTAATCCAGTTGATCTGGTCCTGCACAATGTGCAAGGCCGCATGCTCTTTCAGAAGAATTTTGCATTTGTCAAAACAAGCCTCACAATCATTTATCACACGGCAATGAATCCAGCTTCAAATCCTGATGCATAGATCAGACGACTCCTCCATTATGTACAGACTCGGCTTAATTTTTGGAAATATTTGAAAGAGCAGATGTGATTGGTTATTTTCTTGAATTGTTGCCATTGGCAACATAATATTTTTGTGCTGGGAAATTGTGAAGGGCAGGAATGGAAGCAGTCGTTTAGCCGGAGGAGAAGGGAAAATAAAGAGGCAGTGAGGGAGAAGAAAGGAAGACTGGACTAAACTTTTTTCTTTTTTTTTGTGATGCTTTACGAGTATTTTGTTGGGCCTTCAGTGTGCTGAGCAATTAACTGTTTTGCTGAAAGCACGCTGCCAGCTCCAGTACTCCTCAGCTAGAGAAATGTGGGCCATTTATCACTTTTACAACTCATTTTCACCCCCAAAACACTCCCCTCTTGGGCTGGATACAACCTCGCTGCTGCCATGTCCTTGAGTTCCTGGTGACAGGTAAATATACACTTCCATCCAAACACATGTCCCACATCGTCTATATTTGACTTATGGGAGGTCAGCCTGCGAGGGATCGATGTTGCAGTTCATTTTTAGAGGCGTGATGATGTCATGTTGCAGTGTACTGTGGGTTATGGGTCCATGAACCTGTTGCTGCAAGAAAGCAGCAGTCATCACAACTGTCTTGACTCAGTGAGCAGTGCATGAGGAAACCCGTGCGCTGCGGTGAGTTTCATGCACACTTTGAGGAATAACTTGAATGAACCGAATCTTGCACACTCTTTACTGTAAATTCAGCACGTCACTCCACTGACAACTTCCTAGTCCCACAGGGATCATCGTCAGGTCACACAAGAGGGAAGAATGAATGGAGCGATGTGATGTTGTCATTCAAATGCAATGGATCACTTGAACTCCATTGCCCTGTTGTAATGACCCTGTGTAAGGACCTGTAATGTGGTTTTCCCATTGGGTTTGAGGGAAACCCTATGCCAGGCCATTCAGGTGCACAATAAAGTGCTTTTCACTTTCTGAGGACTTCCTGTCTCCAGTGGCATTCTCCATTAACTCCTCACAGACAGACAAGAGCCTTTCTATTGGCCCAGACTCTCTTTATCGCAGCAGTTATTCCCCCCAGGTGCGGCGCTACCTGGCCCACAGATAAGATAGGAAGCCGGCTGCCTGTCATTATTGGCAGATGAAGGCTATCTGAATATTGACAACAGTTTACACTCCTTGTTGAGAAACAAAGTTGGACTTGTGAGGCAGTGGCACACAGAGCTTTTATTGTGCAGAGAAGATATGAGAGCCCAGCTTCCCTTT